TTCCTCGGAAAAAAAAGGAGGATTGGCAATAGATGTTAGCTCAGAGCCGGTCTTCCTCACAAAAAAAAAAAAAAAAAGAAACCGTTAGATGTAAAATAAAAGGTAGAGTATTGTGATCTTAGTTTTCAGTGCCATAAAGTAAAGATGACTTTGCTGGCATTTTGCTCAAATGTATTTTCCTCATTTCTACTGCTTCCCTATCAGAGGCTGTTCAAACAATACCTTTATCATATTTTAAAATTCATTTATTTCCAAGAAGATACTAATTACCTCGCTTATTTCATACCTTTCAAAATATGAACTGCACTACCAGGAAGGTTAGAAAAATAGTTTCAGGCAAAAGCACATTTGCTTTTGGTCCAAAAAAAATTCTCATCTGCTAGCCTATTAAATGTAATTTGCAATGAGAAATCATTAGTTTACATTTTCAGGGATTGTCATTCAGCCATATGGCCTTTAAATGAATGCATTTCCTGCATATTGGATTGCATTACTGGACTGTCACATGTTTTTAATGGTATAAAAGAACCTGAGCCCAGTAAAATATTTCCTATGTTCATTTCCAGTGATGTCCTGGAAACATTTTGTGTAAACAATTGGCAGATATTTTTAAAGGTTTTCCTTTACTTAAAAATAACAACAAAAATCTATATTAAATAGAACTGTTCGTAGTATCAGTTTAAAATATATTTATTTCTGTATCTGTAATCTGTTACCTCCAAAGGGTTGAATACCAGTAGTTGCTTAATAAATATTTGTTAAATGTATGAGTAAATTAATTTTGCAGTAAAAACATAACATCCTATATATATTGAATTACTTCACAGTATAAAAGGCAAAAGGCATATAATAAAATGAGAAAAGGGGAAATTATATCACTAAATGCCAAATGAGGAAAGCCAGGGAAAGTGATCTCTAAATGTTCTCTTGAGTTTCCTAGTGACCAAGGCAAAACATGCATACATAGTTTCACTGTCATGAAGGACACTGAATAACCTCACATAATTGCAAATGTTTTTTCATTCTTCCTCATTAGGAAATGATGTACGTCTGGAATGGTTTTCCAATAGTGAGCAAAAGAAAAGACCTTTCTGAAAATCTGTTGATAACTGTCGAAAAGGCTGAGGCAGCTTTACAAAATGAAAGTAAGTATGGAAAGTAGAAGCCTGGAAATCTTTATCATTACTGCTAAATAACACAATTAATTTACAATTTCTGTGTATTCCATCCTAGCCTTATTTTTATAGTTGCAATCATAGTGTACCGGGACATACACTAGCCTGGTTTGTTTCATTTAATATGTCATAAACTTATTGCGACATAATTGACATACAACATTATATTAGTTTCAGGTGTATAACATAATGACTCAATATTTGTATACATTGCAAAATGATTACCACAGTAAGTCTAGTTAATATCCGTCACTATACATAGTTGCAAAAATTGTTTTCTTGTGATGAGAACTTTTAAGATCTACTCTCTTAGCAACTTTTAAATATGCAATATAGTATTATTAACTGTAGTCACTACGCTGTACGTTATTACATCCCCATGACTTATTTCTTTTATAACCTGAAGTTTGTACCTTTTGACCTCCTTCACCCATTTCACCCATCCCCCAACCCCATGCCCTTGGCAACCACCAATCTGTTCTGTGTCTATGAGCTTGGTTTTTTTTTTTAGATTCCACATGTATGTGAGATCATACAGTATTTATCTTTCTCTGTCTGACTTATTTCACTTAGCATCATACCCTCAAAGTTCATCCATGTTGTTCCAAATGGCAAGATTTCATTCTTTTTTATGGCTGAATAATATTCCATTGTATATATATACCACATTGTTTTTATCCATTCATCCATCGATGGACACTTTGGTTGTTTCTGTATCTTGGCTATTGTAAATAATGCTGCAGAGAACGTGGGAGTACAGATATCTTTTTGAGTTAGTGTTTTTGTTTTCTTCTCATAAATACCCAAAAGTGGAATTTCTGGATCATAGGGTAGTTTTATTTTTATCATAAACTTTTAATTTTTGCTAAATAGTCCTTATAATAATTTCAAAAGCTTCATAGCACACCACAGAGCTAATAGAACATAATTTAATCAACTCTTTCAGTATTGTTGGGCGTTTAGGCTGCTTTCCATATTTAAAATAATTCTAGCTTTAAATTCCCATCAATAAGGAGAAGAAATATAAAAGAACGAAAGCTGAATCAGTGGGCTTTCTGCTAACAACATTAAGGTTTCAGGCTGGCTAGCTAAAGAATCCAGTAGACAAAGAGCAGTGCTGTTTTGAGATCCCTGCCTTCCCATCAGCCATCTTGCAGATACAAAGTACTCTGCATGTACAGTCACACGCAACGCTCATCTGTTCATGGAGGGTGAGTAACGTCACCTTCCCATTTATAAGGCAGCATTTTTATAGAAAAAAAAAACATGCTTCTCTTTCTCTTCTGTTTCTTCCCCGTTTTACAGAAAAGTTGTAACACTTCAGCGCCTTATGAGCTGGAGGTTAGGTATAGAAGCCAAAATATTGAGGTATTCATCTTCACAGACTGATAATTCCCTTTGATTTCTGGGCACCAGGGGAACAAGCGGATGAGAAGGCTCAAGAAATTGGGATCAAAAAGAGGAATCTAATGTTTGTACTATGTAACAAAGCACCAAAGGAGCGTATGTATGAGTACAGACTACAGACTCTGTGGACATTTTAGACTTTGTGTGTTATTCTAGATGTTCCATCACTAACATATTTTCTACATAGTTTTTATTAGTATAGAGTTTTGATAAGCTTCCTTACTGTTTTTTAAAATAATTATATCTTTTTATTTATTTATTTGTATTTATTTATTTATTTATTTATTTTGTGAAGAAGATCAGCTCTGAGCTACCATCTGCTAATCCTCCTCTTTTTTTGCTGAGGAAGACTGGCCCTGGGCTAACATCTGTGCCCATCCATCTTCCTCCACTTTATATGGGACGCCGCCCCAGCATGGCTTGACAAGTGGTGCATCCGTGCGCGCCCAGGATCCGAACCCCGGGCCGCTGCAGCGGAGCGCGCACACTTAACCGCTACGCCACTGGGCTGGCCCCTGTTTTTTAATTTTTAATTGTAAAGTGCACTTATAAAATTTACCATATTAACCATTTTTAACTGTACAGTTCAGTAGTGTTAAGTATATTCACATGGTTGTGCAACCAGTCTCCAGAACTTTTTCATACCCATTAAAAATAATTTCCCATTTCACCCTCCCACAACTTCTCTGATATTCCTTTGGATGTATGTAGTACCACATCTTGTTTATCTATTCATCCACCCATGGACATTTGGGTTGTTTCCATGTTTTGGCTATTGTGAATAATACTTCTATGAACATGGGTATGTAAATATTTTTTTGAGACCCTGCTTTCAATTCTTTTAGATATATGCCCAGAAGTGGATCATATGGCATTTCTATTTTTAATTTTTTGAGGAACTGCCATACTGTTTTCCACAGCGGTGGCACTATTTTACAGTACCACCAATAGCCCACAAGGGTTCCAATTTCTCCATATCCTTGTCAACACTTGTAATTTTCTGTTTGTTTTTTTTTTTCGATAATAGTTATCCTAATGGGTGTGAGGTTATCTTTACTATTTTTAATGTGAAATAATTTCAAAAAGGAAAAATATTTCATTTTGAGTGGAAAGTCAACATAAAGTCACATCATTCTGAAATTTAAATGAAATGAAACTCCAGGAAGTTCACCTTAAGAAATGAGATTTCACAGAATGCACTTCTGTAAATCCATTTGGACTTTTGAACAAATTTATAAGTATTCATTGTTGTTCAGCTAATTTGGCCACTTTTCATTAATTTGCTCATTTGAATGCTCTTAGATTTTCCATACTAGATATAGAATTATGATAGATAGAGAAAGCATTGTTCTTGCCATTAAGGGAATTATCTATGATTAAAACCCACATATCCACAAATTAAATGGAAAAATGAATGTTTTAAAATAAGTGGAATGTGAAAACTGAGAGGTAAAGGAAAACCTCTTTTTATTAAGTGAAAACATTTGTAGGGTATTTTTTCCCCAGAAAAGTAGGCCAGCTTGTTTCTTCTGTTTTCCTACAAAGATAAGGGTTTTGGTTCAGTAGAATAAAGTCTGATGTTTGAATGTCCATCCTTTGTAGTATAGACTATTATGTACCACCAGAGAGTGGGGTTTTTTGTATATTAAGAAGTCCTGAAGGACCATCAGGTTTTTTTCTGTTTGCACAGGCTCTTCACTCCCTACCCCTAAGTTGATTTTGCCCCTCCATCGGTTGGGGGAAAAAATTAAAGCAGTAATATGTTTTACATGCATAGAACATGCATGTAAAATGCAATAGAGGTTTAGAAAACTAGGCCTCTCTCTCCATCCATCTTTCTTCTTTTAATGACATATTGAGATGATAGGCTTTAGAGATATTTCAGCAGGGCTGGGGGGAAGCTCAGACAGACACACTGTACTTCTTACAATTCTGTCTTTGTATTTCTTCCCCTTGGGTAAGAAAAGATTGGTTTCTTTTCTGAAGATCACCTTGCCAGATGTCGTACATGAAATTTATGATGATCTCTTCCAGGTCCATCGTTTTATGCAGAAAGATTACCCGATTCCCTGCACCCCACCCCGTGCCCACTCCCTTATGGCCTTTTAGTAAATAAGCTCCTATCCATCCGAGTCAGGGGGAAAAAAATCTAAAATTGGAAAATGGAGTAAAGTTGTAGACCTGAAATGTTTTCAGCCTCCCCCTCCCCCAACCCCCATTATGAGGAATTGAATGTGTTTTTGTTTCTCCTGCCTTTGGCAAATGTCTCTAAAGTAGAAGATAGTAGTAGGTACAGTTGTTCTGCTCTGACAATGCCATAGTTATGACAGGCTGGTCATGAGTACAAAGGGAAAATACTGCTTATAGAGAGAGAAGCAGTTAGTAATATGCCTGGAGTCAGTGTTTGCTATTAGTTCCATTAGTATTTCATTTGAAATCTAACTAAATTCAACACATAGCCAGAAGTTGGTACCATAGTTCTTCTCTATTTGTTGCAGTTAATTTGCTTGATGAAATTATATAGCAAAATAATCAGAGTTACATAAATGGGAAATGTTACTTCCATTGTGGCTTTTCACTTTCTGGATCTATTTGCAAATTTTTTTTTTGATATATTTCAACTAGCTTCTAAAAAGTTCAATGTAGATATTTTTATAGTTGGGGCCTTAAACTTCCTTTTTCTTCAGCCTACTTATTAAGTTCAGTGGATCTTTTGTGATGAAAATGTGCTTTGGCAGCATTATCATGTAATTTTCTTGGAATGTAAAATGGAAACTCTGTGTTGACATGTTCACCCATGAACTCACTCATGAGGTTAAGAATCATGATAAAGCATTCATTTTTTTAAGGGAAAATAATCATCTGACAGAAAGTGCTCTGTGATCTGAGGAAAGGAGGATTTTGCTTTTCAGGTTTTTGGAGGAGTGTGGTGTTTTTGAACCCATGTTCCATATCCCTAACTCATGATCTAAATAAAAGTTAAGTGTGGTTTTACTGGTACTTTAAGTTTCCATGGTGTTATGTCTGTTCCTCAACAAAATCATCATTCACTGCATACTGGAATGTTGTGATAACACAAACTGTCATAAAATGCTACACAGAACTCAATAGAATGCACAAAAATGATGCTGAAAACTAGCATCCAGTATGGACCCTCAGGGTTTGGTTCTAGGCCTGGAAAGATATTGTTCTTGAATGTATATTTCAATGAGCATGATTAGATTTTTTTTTTGGTAGAAAAATGGTCCTTAAGGACCATACATAGGAAAGTTAATGTGGTATTATCTGTGATTTTCTTCATGAATGACCTATCAGAGCTTGGAAATGAGATGTGAATATCAGCTATTTTCAGCACCCAGATGTAAAGTGACCCCTTTCTCGTTGGTTAAGTAGCATCGTTAACCTCCCATAGACAAGCAGTTTACCAACTAAAATACCAGCATGTGTTAATGGTGAGTTCTGAGGTTTGTACTGAAAGCAGGAGGGTTTCAATATGTGGGACTCCCAGGGCCTCATTAGTTTGGTTTATTCCCCCCTCCTTTGTCACAGCCTGAAATGTGTCAATTATCAGTCTGTCTTGCAATGCCTTCTTAGTTGCACGTTAACTTGCAAAAATCCTCAAATTCAAAAGTGGTAGGTGTGAGGTGACTACCTGTGTCAGATGGATGTCACACGTCATATGGTTCCTTCTGTTTAATACTCTACAGCCTTGGATTGAAAGGGTAAAAGTGGTGAAAGAAAACCCTTCACATTAGCCTCAAGCTGGTAGATGTCTGGAAGGATTTTAGGTACATTGCATTGTACTTCAGAACCATTTTGTCTAATTTTGTGACATAATTTCTCCCCAAAAGAACATAACTGGGGAGAATTGATAAGTTGTAAACATAATGATCTGGAGAGGGTATTCTACGTCCTGAATTTTTAATGGATAGGAAGCCATCTGCCTCCCCATATGGGAGAGTTATCCTCTCCTGCACGGAGCCAACACAGTCAGATGCCCGAACCACAGGAGGAGGCAGCCTTCGTGCTCCTGGTAGCTTTACCTTTTAGAGAATTAATAAAGCTCTTACTTTATTTAGAGTTCAGATTTCCTATTGTTATATCTAAGGTCACATAACTCAGAATATGAGCACCCAAAAATTTTTTTTAAGTGGCTAGAGTGAACCCCTTAATAAAATGGTGTGTTAATGTGGTAAACTCAGTCTTTTAAGTTAAAATATTTTCATTGTATTTTATTTAGCGAGGCATAACAAATGCTAAAAATGTTTTCCTTATTTTTAAATAATCCCTCTGAAACCTAATAGCTATTAGTTCTTCCTCTTAATTAGAATTTTTAAAAGTAGTTTTCTTTCTGTGGGTGATTTTTTGTTTGTTTTGCTTGAAGACTTGACTGACTACTCTGTAGACGACGAGTGTTTGGTGAAGTTGCTGAAAGGGTGCTGTCTGAAGAACTTACAGCGGCCCTTGCAAGCGGAATTGTGTTTCAATCATGTTGTCCAAAGGTAAAAGCAAACAGGGACACCAACCTGAGTGCAAATTGTGGCTTCTGGGGAATTACTGTGAGAAAGTGATGCTTTTATCTCCTGCTGCTAACCTTTCACTTGGTGTACTAGAGAGAGGATCCAGTAGTGTTTTCTTATAATCTAAGTGGGACGGGGCTTTATGCATTTCCACTGGGTGTTTAAAGGTAGCACACGAAAACTCAATTTATGGCCAGGCTACTAGGTGTCTATCTAAACTCTGGCCGTGATGTACTGAACCTCTGATACTTTTTCGATTCATACATTTGTTTTTCTGTTCATTTATTCCACAGATATCTGAGCACCCACTCTGTGCCAGAGACTGTGCTGGGTCCTAAGGATTCAGAGTTGGGTCAATAGACTTGCCATCATTGTGATAATAATTTGGCAGGGAGGAAAGACATGCCGTGAACACTGTAACTGCTTCTCTTTTGGCAAAGGGCGTTTCTTCTGTATATAAATGAGAGGTTTTTTTTTTTTTTCATTGCATTATTGATGATATCCTGCTACTTTACTAAACAGAGAGTTGAGTCAAGGTTCTGATATCTGGCCCTCTTCTCTATGTCTGGAGTCATAAATGCAAATGTCTACAGGGGCCAGACCAGTAACCTTGCTGAATGACGGCAGGAATAGGGATTGGTGGGCACTGTAGATTGGGGAGATCGTATGTTCTCTCTAAAGAGTGCAGCCACTCCTTAGCTCTAATTGATTATTGCTCTGTATGATGTAACAATAAACCCTACAATTTTTCAAGAAAAGCCTGGAATCTGGATTTTATGTAAAATCTCCTGATTTTTAAATATTGGCTCAAAGTTTTCGAAAACACTGTAAGCCGAATAGATCACAGCCACAGACGTCCTCTGTTCCATACCACGTGCCTTTCCACCCATGGCCACTGATCCTCTTCCTTCTGACAATATTTTATGAGAATGTAAGAGGACTGGTGTTCTTATATACGAGGAAACAGACTATGTCTATTTCCCAAATAGGTAATGTACTGATTTTAGTAAACATGTTAAAGAAATATCCATTGAGTTCTATTTTATTGGTGTTTTTATAAGAATCAAAAGGATGATTCATTTGTGCTGTTTGTTGTGTTTATTGATTCTGTAGTGAATTGTTTGCTCTTGTGTTTTGTAATTTTGGATTGTGAGCTCACTTTCAGTGGGGTTTTATCTTGAGACTCCTATGAGGCTAGGATTGAGGAAAAGTGATTTTGCTTTTATTTCTGCCAGGTGCCCCAAAGGCTTTTCCAGCCCAGGCCCACTTTCGTGTTAATTTAATTGCTTACAGGTTCTTGGATCATTTGGGCAATGTAAATTTGAATTTCATATTCATGTGTAGACAGGCCTGTTGGTTGTTAATTTCCCAAGAAATGTGTTTTCTTCCCACCTGGAGCACAGGCCAAGGAGCCAACTACTCTTGTCTTCCTCCTATGCCAGTGAGTGGTTTTTTCTAATCCACTCTTTCTCTGATGGGGTAGGGCCCCAGCTTTATCTAGAGTCTCACTCCTGGCTCTCTGCTTGATGTGGGCTCAGGGCCTCATCTCCTGCGTGGACAGTGAGACACACAGCCCTGGTTGATTCAGACTGAAGCAGACCCCAGGATGTTGTGGCATTATCCACGCACTTAGAGACTGATTTTGTTTTGTTTTCAGTTCGAGAGTTTTTCTTATGTTCTTGTGAGCTACACTATGCATTTGAAAGGGTGTTATCCATGTTTTTTTCAGTGCTTCTAGATGTTTCATAGTCAGAGAGTTTCCATAATAATATTGAAGCCAGAAGTGTTGACCACTTCTTCATTGATGTTTTTTAACATTATTAGAGTTAACAATACAAAGGGAGTTGAACCTTAGTGAAAAATAATACAGCATTCTTATTTCTAAATGGAGTCATTTCCTGAAAATATTCATGTTCAGGAGGATGATCTTGTCTTTTGGTTAATCTTTGAAGATCTGCGTGCATTCGTCTACCTAAGGGGCAGTAAACAAACCTCAGTGCTGGATTTAGACTAAGGAATAAAATAAAAGATTAATGTATTAAAAGCGTACTATTTATTGCCATAGTTTATAAGAGGCTTTGACTGTATAACGACAGCTTTTCTCTGAGAATAGGCTTAGTGCTGCACCTGTTCTCTGAGAAATGGGGAAAATATGTATGTTGAAAAAGAATGATACGTTTCTTGTTCTGTTAAGACTTAATTGCTTTTCATTCACTCTTTTAGTGAAAAGCTACTGAAGTATGACCACTACCTAGTGCCATTTACTCTGTTTGAGTTGGCATTTTTGTACAAAAGCCAAGGGGAAATTGACAAGGCCATAAAGGTCCTAGAAACTGCAAGGTAAGTGATGATGACAGCTTTGCCTTGATTGCTGTGGAGTCAGGAATGTCAACACCATCATAACAACAGCAGTAATGTTATACACTAAAAAGTTAATACAGCAATGAAAAATTAGTAATAATGTTACCTTTGCTAACTTATGCTTATTTTATGCTCATGGCTTTTGCTGTAATTGTGCTGTTTCCAACCTTCTTAATGCCTGAGCCTGTGACTATTTACAGCTGCTGTGATTGTGAGCATCTGTATGACAGATTTCTAACCAATTCTCTTCTATATCAGGGGTTGGCAAATTTTTTCTGTAAAGGGCAAGATAATAAGTATTTTTGGTTTTACAGTATAAGATCTCCATTGCAACTGCTCGGTTGTATCGAAAGCAGCTACAGAAGACAATATGTAAATAAATGGATGTGTCCAGATTGGGCCATAATTTTGGTCATAATTTGCTGACCCTTGGTGTATTCAACCATATCTCTCATTTTCTTAAAGAACCACTGATTTGAAGAAGCCCTTTGAATCTTCTCCTGACTCGCTCTTCTTTCTGTCTACTGTGGCAATTTCAAAGCGTTTTATCATTTCTGCTAGACAGTGGCTCTCGGACTTGTGATCATGACTCACTTAGTGGGGACAAAAAAACCCCTCTGGTCTGTGTGCCTTGAACACTCTTTGCAGCGGAGAGAGAATGCCAAATAGCTCTAGGCCACACATAGCTTAGTGATTCATTGGTTTGTTCATTTACTCAAATTTAGCAAGTATTCATTGAGCACCTGTTATGTACCAGACCCTGGGAAAGGCTCTAGACAGACAACTGTACATAAACAGGCAGTGTTTCTGCTTTCTTAGTTGGAGGGAGATGTTAAATAAACAAACAAATAAGAAAAATAGCAATGGGGCCGGCCCCGTGGCTTAGTAGTTGAGTGCGCGTGCTCCGCTGCTGGCAGCCCGGGTTCGGATCCCGGGCGCGCACCGACGCACTGCTTCTCCTGCCATGCTGAGGCCGCGTCCCACATACAGCAACTAGAAGGATGTGCAGCTATGACACACAACTATCTACTGGGGCTTTGGGGGAACAACAAAAAAAAATTTTTTTTAAATTTAAAAAAGAAAAATAGCAATGGTGTGTACTGTGCTGAGATTTACAATACGGTACAGAGTACCTCAGTGTTATTTTAGATTGGGTTGATTCTGGAAGGCTTCCTTGAGGAGGTGATGTTGTAGTTGAGATTTGTGTAATTAAAGCCAATCCTGAGAAGCTCAGTCACCAGAAGGCTGGGTGAGAAGCATTCCTGGCTGAAGCCACTGCAAGGTAACCTCTAGACTAGGGGTTTGAGCCACTAGGTCGATAATGATGCTTTTTGCTGAAATGAGGAATACTTAGAGGAGCAGGTTTGGGGAGAGAAAAAAGTACGTTTGTTTGGACCGTGATATTTTGAGCTAACTATTAGGTATCCATGTGGAAGATGGCGAGTTGGCAGTCAAATATACAATCATGGATGTCAGTGGAAAGGTCAAGGCTGAATGTAGAGATTTCAAAGTCACCAGCACAGAGACAGTGATATTTAAAGCCATGATACTTGATGAGGTAATTTTGGGAAAATTATATAGCTGGAGAAAGAAGTCCATCACAGAGCCTTGGGATATGCCATCATTTTAGAGATTAAACAATAAGATTAAGAAGTGGCCAGTGAGTGAGGAAGACATCCAGGAAAGCCAGGTGAGCACAGTGTTCCAAAAAGAAGAGTGTGGTCAGTTGTGAAGATGCTGAGAGGTCAGGCAAGGTGAGAGCAGAGAAGTGGTTGCTGAATTTGGCAGCATGAAGATCATCGGTGACTTTGACAAGTGAGGTGAGAAAGTGGAGTCAGCTACTTCAGGCAACTCTTTCGGGATGTTTTGCTGTGAATAAAGCATAGTAATCAGGCAGAAGCTTCAGGGACATGGTGGAGCCAAGAGAGGCTTCTTTGTTTTTTTTTTAAAGGGAGATATGAGAGTAAGTCACTTTTAAAATTTAAAGTTAATTTGTTGAGAATGAGAATGACTTATATGTCAACTGACATGTATATGTCCTCAAATCTAACTATTGGAAAATTAGGGACTATAAATACTGTTGTTCCAAGTATTCATTGTTTGGACATATTTAGTGTTGTCTAAATAATGCTCAATAAGGCAAATTTATAATGATGAAAATAAAAGACTAGCCATTCACTACTAAAAAGCAGGACCATCAGCGATCAAAAGTCAGCACTAACTCAAGCCAGTACCGATGATGCCGACGTAAACAGCCTTCCCAGTAATTTCAAGACTGTCAATTGTCTGCAGTTTCCCTTATGCGGTAGGAGCTTTGCGAAGTTACCAAAATTAGTAGCCAGACATTTAGAAAAATACTCAATTACATCTTGTGGTAAGCTCTAGTAAGATGTTGATTTAACTTATGAATAATAACCCTTATTCTGGGTAATAACCCTTATCAAGTTTACCCATAAATAGCCCTTAGACCTGTATAAAATGAATTGCTATAGAAAGACGTGAATGCCTCTGCAAAGAAAGAAGTTAGAGCTCACCCATGGGCCAAGGCAGTGTGTGAAAGCAGGAGCCCAAAGTTGAAGCCATTCCATTTTGCTGATTCTTAATAATTCTAGCAAAGAGAAGTCAACATGGATGATCTAAGTTTTTAAATAATCTGTGGATTTCTTTGGCCCCTCTGACATTGTCACACAATAATTATTGGCCAAACCATTGACATTTGCCTATAAGAACTGGAGGAAGTAATTTTGGTGTCACCGAGTAATCTTGCTGTCTTTGTCACAGTTGTTTCATGAGAGTTTCAAGATAATCTTTTTGGCAGGTGATTGATCATGTTCACCTTGTTTATAGGAGGCTGCCTTAAAATTTCCAGTTAGAAAAGGAGATCACCTATTTAGGAATAGTTCACAACTATTTAGGCTTAAACTGTTAAGCCCTCCATGTAACCTTGCTGTGTTTGTGAATGGTTTGGAATTAAGTAGACCTTGCTACTCGAAGTGTGACTTTTAGATCACCACCGGGAAGCTTCTAGAAATATAGAATATTGCCATCCTCCTCCCCTCCCAGGACCAGAATCTACATTTTAACAAGATGCGCTGTTATACATATTCAAGTTTGAAAGCAAATAAGGAATGAGGAAGGGGAGAATGGTGGTGGTGCCCTGGTATACAAAGGAATTTTAACATTACAATTTTATTGTTATTGTCTTTAGAAACAACTACAAAGATTACTCCATGGAGTCCAGGCTACACTTCAGAATTCAAGCAGCTCTTCACCTCTGGAAAAAACCTTCCTCAGATTGATCAGAACAAGAAGGGTGGAATTTTCCCTCAATTACCGCATCTGCTAAAGATTAGACCTTGTATTAAAGTGGAAAAGTGATCTTCTGAATGAGAGACAAAAAAACTAATTTTATTGTCAATATTTTCTGTCATCTGTGTGGTTTACTGTTGGTCTACATAAATGGTTTTGGGTTTTTTTTTTTTATGGAATGATGTTCGATACTATCTAGAAATTCTTATATTTTGCCTCTCCAAAAAGATTTTCATATTGCATTTGAATTGGAGAGTGAAGTCTCTTAAAAGACTCACAGGTACAATAAAGTCTAATGAGACTATTTATTTTTTTAATGTAGAAATCAATATTGTTTAAGTAGCAAGTGGCTTACAAGTTGAGCCATTTTTAGATTTGTTGATCAGTTAAACTTCAGAGATATTTTGTTGCCTAGTATTTAAATTCAAGAGGGGAAATGAAAATCACCTACATTCAAAATAGCCTAACAATCACCTCCTGAAGACTCCTGAAAAAGAGAGGCAGTGGATGGGATAATGGACTCAATAGGTTGAGGAGACCTGTATCTAGAAAAGATGATGAAACATTGTTATTGTTTTTTTATTCTTCATGTAAGTTAAAGGTGGTGACATTTTTGAAAGACTTTCCTGTTTTTGAATGTATTTAAATCTATTAGAATAACAAAATTCAAAAAACTCTGTGTATCTAAAGGGAAGAAAAAGTCATATTTTAGAAATTATCCTCAACCTTAGCAGTGAGAGTCTAAAATATATACGTTGATTATTTTTCTTATGGGAATCAAAGTTCCTGCTGCTTTAAATGATATGTAAAATATCAATAACTTTTACACTCATGATGTTGGTGAGTAAGATCCAATTTTCTAATCTCTGTAGCACTGTGATGGTTCCTTGTAAATACATGGACTGTGATTAGTCCTTTAATCAGGAAACACAATCAGGGCATGGAGCAGAGGAGAACCAGCCCGACTCTGTGTGGTCCTGACTCTGCTACTGGTTAGCGGTTACCAGGGAGACCTTTAGAGAGTCCCTGCTCTCTGCGTCACCACATTTTCCTCATCTGTGAAATGGAAAAAGAGCAGATGTCTTCAAGGTCTTTTTCAGTTTTATAGCTGTGAGTCTGTGTATTAGGTATTCATTTTCAGGAAACAATGTTAAAAAATGTTTAATCCAAACCATTCCTACTTAGTGTGTGTTTTATTCTGCAATCATCACTGTCTCCTCCCCACCCTCCAAATATGTATGTGTTGTGGCTAAAGAGAGATTGCATCCAGAGCGAGGAAAAACAATTCATGAATGGATGAATCAGGGTTTTGTCCTATTTCTGTTTCTATTTTGAAGAATAACTTGTCATGGAAATCTCTGCAGTTTAACAGAAACAGCTCCAAATTGGTAGTCAGGAGCCCATCTCTATTAGTTAATAGTTTCTTGACATGGAGCAAGTCACTCACTCTTTCTGGGACTCAGTTTTCCCAGTGGGGATAGCAGCGTAGTGCTTGGTGCTTGTGAGGGCTCAATTAAATAATTAAATTAAATTTAAATTTAAATATAGTTTAAATAAATAAAATTAAATAATGTATATGATAGCTTTTTGTAAACTGTGAAAGGCTGTATGAATATGAGTTGTTGTAATAACTGTGGTTTTTATGTACTGATTACAGTATCAACACAAAAGTATTGGCTGAGTCTGTGGTCTCTGATGTAAAATGAAAGAAGCGTGGAAATTCAAACACCTTTAAATTTATTCATGTGTTTGGCACTGACAATAGCCCAGTTTATGAATTTGCTTCTTGCTGTTTATTCCCTGCTACATGAGCCTGTATCCGGCTGGTATTTGTCTTGTTTTCTTTAAGGTACTAATTCTTGACCAATACTGAGGATGTATTTCCAATGGAAGACGATTAATACAGCTCAAGTCAGAGTACCACCCCTTGAGATAGTATGGTGGTGGTAGATCTCAATATGGACTATTAATATGAACACATAACTTTACTTGAGGTCCAGACAAAAGAGGAAATAAAATGAACTGTCCTTACAATTAGTAGTGGAAACCATGTTCAATAATTACTTTGTATATTACTTGGAAAAAACGTTTCCAAATTTCTTAGAAAAATCTTTGGTAGCATTATCTTTTTAAATTACAAACATTCATATTATTTTTGTGAGAAGCTCCAAGTCAAAGTGAAAGTCATTAAAAAATTCTCTTTCTGGTAACATGAAAAAGATTTAAGCTAATAGTGGTTATTTTTATTTTATTTTAACTCTTTATTACCAAAACAAATATAAAAGAAATTCATATCTCCCATTTAAATTTTTTCTTTGTTATTTTTTCTTATTTTGTTTTTATTTTTACTTTGTATTCTTTTTGTAGTTATGTGGTAATATGGATAATCTATCCAATGGATTTTTAAATGCTATAGTATCATTAATGGTACAAATATTTATCTGTTTCCTGCCACGTTCAAGATATCATGATGGTACCAGTTTCTTGTGACATCAGCTAATATTGTGTTTTTGGAGTTTTTTTGTGATTCAGTTTGTTCTGTGAAGAATGAATACTGAAATGACGGTGTTTCATCTAATGTTTTGAGGGACATATGTGATGGGATTGGGCTGCCAATGTGTCTCACAGTTTGTGCAATTTGTGTAGTTCTGGGTATAATTGCTTTTTTTTTTTTTTTTTAATGGAGAGCCAGAGTTCTGATTGGTGCTGTGTAACTTTAAGACTCAAGTAGAGGTTGTGCTTTGTAGGATTGGTGACAAGGAAGGCATGAATTCCACTTGACAATTAATGGAAGATTAACTATATCACCTCTTACAGGAACATATTTTAATGTTTCTTTGCTTCTCCTGGATACAAGAAGGTCCCAAGTTACATAGGAAAAGGAGATTCGTTGATTCTCTGTTTTTTCTACAAGTGGGTAGAAGCTATAGGGAGGTGAAGTCCAGATTAATCAGCATCAAAGAAGATTTTTAATCATTGAAACAATCTAACAGTATAACCATCTCTTTTGTGGAGGAGTGAGTTTAGCAGAGCCATGTGACCATCATTCCTACCTGCCTGGGAGCTTAGAGTTGAACTTTGAGGTCACCCTATGAGTCTTTGATCACGGCTTCAAATCAGTGGGATGTGTGTAAAGACGAAAGATTCCCCCTTTCGAAGAAAAGTGGCTGTTTCCTCTTTTGAAGCTACTTGTAGAGTAGTTACACTGTGATAGGCGCTAATAGCTCCTGCTATTAATACTCATGTGATTTCCACTTCTCATCCATTCCTTGAAAGTGAGTCTGTTGATGTTTTCGAATACAGATTTTTCTTCCTTTGGACATTAAAAGTAATAATTTAAAAAAGATCTTTGTGACCAACTGGAAAAATTTCTGGAATTACTCTGATTAATCATTGATTTTTTTTTCATATTTCTGTTTTTTTCCTAGTTATTCTCCCCATACTTGTAAATCATAAATTCAAATAGATGTAGTTAAAATGAGTTAAAGAAGGCTCCAGTGATGGTTTTGATGCCATAAGATTCTGTGGTTCCTAGGGCCTGGAGTGGATCTTGGGAAGGTATCTCATCCTCCCCAGCTTCTAAGCAGTGTTGTTTCTCCTTCAGTCCTGCTCTGTCCAGTATGGTAGCCACTGGCCACATGTGGCTGTTGAGCACTTGAACATGGCCAGTGGCCTGTGCTGGCGTGATGCTGAGTGTCAGGGAGCATTTGTTTATACACGCTGCAGTTCTGTTTAAAGTAAAGGCCTCCCGATGTCATGCTTCCTGGAGCTCTGGCTTCTGCTTGCTGTCTACTATGATCACCCAATCACCACAGTTGCATTGTCAGTTGTGGTTCAAATATGTGTCTGTGAAGTTTGCTTTTTTTGTTTAAGTACCATAAACTTTTATTCCTCATGTTTATTCTGCAGATGATCAAGGTCATTGGTACATTTGAACATTATTCCTCCCCCAGCCCCCAGATCTCCTTATATGCTAGAATAAAAGACCTTTTAAGACCTTTTAAGCTATTTTCATCTGACTTTACAGACATTCCTTGTTTTTTTCAGATGCAACAGCACAAATTTAGGAGTTGTAGAGGAAGTGACTCTTGCCTTTGAGATGTTACATTTTATGATTAAAATATTTTATAAGATTAACATTATTCTGAAAAATTTGGTGACCTTTTCCATCCCTTTATGTTATCAGTGTTTCAGCATTAACTCGGCGAGGCCAATGTTACTATTGAAAGATTTTTAGGCACAAGTTACCCACTTAAGAGAATAATCTGGCAGATAGGTTATTTAAAGTTAAGTATTTTATGCCTTTTGCCGCCTATTATTATTTTTAATGTGTACGATACCTAAGTGATATGCATAGGTATAACTGACATATTTTTCATCTCTTTAGATATTTCTTGATCAGCTAGCTAGCTAGATAGATGGATAGATAGAAAACAGCTTACAAATATTAAATAGACAATGTTTTATACTATTCTTTCAGGAGTGCAGGATTTTCTCCAGATTGTTTCCCCTCCCACAGACCAATTATTTACATATTTTTTCTTTATGTATTGGATTGGATGTTGTGAAACCCTATTCCTGCCTCTCATTGTTGGTAGTTTTGTCTTTTGTACATCTGCTGTTAGATTTAGTTCAGAATGTTGAACTTGAAATGTAATGAAAAGGGCACATCAGAATTTATCATGAGGGAGAAGATCTTCTGTGTTGAGCAGTCACTATCTGACCTTGACTCTGTTGAATCCATTCCAGTCTGTTTTTAACTTCATAACTACAGAAGGAAATGACGCAAGGACTGTTAAGAGGATTGAGAAGGCTGAGCAGGTTCTTGGCCTGATCCATCCCAAAGGGATATGTGGATGTGGCCTTGGAGGAAGTCCATTCCCCATTCTGTCTAGTTTACAAATGAGTCAGCACAGTAATACTGTAACACGACTTTGCATGGAGAAGTCAAAGCAGCCACCTCACTGTATTTAATTAATAAAGAATTCATACAGATGCCTGTAGATTGGATATGTAATAGGAAAGCTCAAGATACTTTAATACCAAGCTTCATTAGGTAAAACGTGTTGCATATTAATAAACAAT